GTTGTCTCCATCTCGGTGATTAGTCGTCTCCATCTCGGTGATTAGTCTTCTCCATCTCGGTGATTAGTCGTCTCCATCTCGGTGATTAGTCGTCTCCATATCGGTGATTAGTCGTCTCCATCTTGGTGTTTAGTCGTCTCCATCTCGGTGATTAGTCGTCTCCATCTTGATGTTTAGTCGTCTCCATCTCGGTGTTTAGTCGTCTCCATCTTGGTGTTTTTTCTTCTTCCTCTTCCTCTTCCTCTTCTTCTTCTTCTGCTGAAGGCCCCTGCGTACAAGATAACTGGACTTGCACCTTTTTACTGCTCAGTCATCAATGCCTGGAAGTTTTACCAGACCACCCGCCCCCGGCCTGTGGCTGTTTGAGGAGCCACTGTTTGATACTGGTTTTCTTTCTGGAACCCTTTTCTCTTAGGCCGCCCTAAAGAACGCGTTCATTGAAGCGGGAGCTGTAAAACTTGGCCATTTGACGGGGGTCTCCACAGAAACACTGGCTGAGGTGACGGGCATTCGATCAACCCGAGCTCTGGAGAACCTGGTGAGGCGTGGCAGTCGCTGTCGCCATCCCACCGGACTTTTGCTCTGGATGCAGATCTGGCTGACCAGTGGAGAAAGGGACAAGAGTCTGTCTTTCCTGCCTTGAGTGTGGGTCCTGCGGTTGGGGAATGGAGAGAGGAGGAGGGTCTCCTGCTATCACTGGGGACTCTAACACCTGGAACGTTCAGCTCCTGCAGTGCGAACCAGCTATACCTTAGCTGCGTAAAGGTGCTAACCCTCAGCTCGCTCACAGGCGTCAGAGAGTCGAGGTGGACGGATGTGTTTGGGCTCTTCCCCTCAGGGCGGCTGGAGGATCCTGTATAAAGCTCCGGGTGAGAAACGGATGGCTGACATCCAATGGAGAGTTAGACACGGAGCAATAGCCACTAACTAATACAGAGCTCATTTTGACCCGGGCACAAGGGGGCGCTGTCCGTTCTGTTTTATGGCAGAAACATTGGAGCATTTAGTGTCCTGTCCCCGATTGGCTCCTCCTCCTCCTCCTCCTCCTCCTCCTCCTCCTCCTCCTCCTCCTCCTCCTCCTCCTCCTCCTCTCCAGCTCCTTCCCGTTATTGAGCAGATTAACTGGATCCCCTCCAGAGGGCTCCTGCTTGGGGAATGAAAGGCGAGGGAAGAAAGGGCCGATGGCCGCCGCTTTGTGTCCTCACTTCCCTCCATAAGGCTGAGAGGCCCCCCCCCCCCCCCACCCCCAGAACATATGGGCCGTATTACAGCAGACTGGGTGGCACAGACCCACTAATACTACACAGTATATTAATACTGAAAATTCATATTCATATAGTAGCACTCACAAAACACTGGAATATAAACCCTATAAATAAAGAACTAAGACAGAAAATACACTCAAATAAATATATACAGAGAAAATAAATATATATAAATACAGAACACAAACTAATATATTTTAGGGAACAGTAAAAGCAGTAATACTTTAATTTATTATAATTATATAAGTACTGATTTTCTCTTATTAGGAATTCATTAATTTGACTGTTTATTTCATTAATTGTTGCTCATTTTATTTCATATTATTTTATTTGTGTGAATTATATCAAAAAGAATAACTAGTTATAATAATATGATATTTAGTGAATAGAAGACACTGGTAATGTATTATTAAAATGAGCATTACATAAACGTGTTATTGATGATCCATCGTATCCTTTTATACACACACGCACACACACACATACACACACACACACACACACACACACACACACACACACACACACACACAACAAACAATGCATTCATTTAAACCATCTGATGTTTTTATTATTGTTATGATTTGTTTTTAATCTTCGGTCTCTTTAATAAACATTTATTCTCCTCTTAAAGTTAAATCTTGTGAAAAATGTTTAAATGTTTAAATTTATTTTTTTGTTTGTGTTTGTGTTTATATAATCTGATTTATTTAAACTATAAAAACACAGGAAACCAAAATAATAATAAAATCTTCACAATCATCAAACCATGTGTTTAATATTTATAATATTTAAGAACAGGTTTAAATAAAACAAACAAATTCATCTGTATTTTAAATTCTCACTCTTTCAGTTTTCTTCCGTTTTTCTCTTATTTCTTTAAATGAAATGTTTTGTATTATTGGATCTAATAATATGATGAAATGAAATGTGTTGTTTCGCCTCTCGGCTCTCTGGAGGTAACAGGCGGGGACTTCGCGGGTGTTTCTGGACAATCGGCGAATAATTGGCGGATGATTCTGGATCATGGAGACATTTCACGGCTGTGTGTGTGAGTGGGGGGATCACAGTGAACGTGTCGCGGTGCGTTCAGGGTCAGCGAGCAGCAGCGGAGGTCCCGGCGCTGCCGTGAGGCCCCGAGTCATCAACTGAATCCAAGAGAATAAAACAGAAATAAGAAATAAAAGAAAATATGCTTAAAAAGATTTATTTTGGATTATGATTTCTTCAAGTCTTTAAAGTAATTAAACATAAGAAATATTTTTGTATTTAATCTTTGAAGTGAGTTTTAATGAACCTCATCAAAATAACCAACGTAAAGAATATCTCCAATATATTATTTACGACGGATGTTTTCAGACTTTATTTTATTCGAGATTAAACTTGAAACTAAAGATTGTATTTTTAGTAAAATTATAATCAGGAAGCTCAGAGACTTTTAATAAATGTACTTTTTAATTTGGTTATTTTTATTCATCTCTAAATAGCACTTTATCCAGAGACTAGGGGCCCTTTATAGAAAACATTACATTACATCGCATTTAGCTGAGGCTTTTATCCAAAGAGACTCACAATAAGTACATTCGACCAGGAAGACACAACCTTGAAGAAAACAGAATTATAAAGTACATCAGGTTTCATAGAGCCAAACATTTCAAGTGCTACTCAACTGGCTTTAGATAAGCCAGCCCTTTATTAGTATAAAAGTGCTTTGTTAGTAATTCTATCGCTGGAAGTGGAGTCGAAAGAGATGAGTTTTCAGTCTGGAAGGTGTGTAAGCTTTCTGCTGTCCTGATGTCAATGGGGAGCTCATTCCACCATCTTGGAGCCAGGACAGCAAACCCACGTGTTTCTGCCGATGGGAACTTGGATCCCCCTCGCAGCGAGGGCGCAGCGAGTCGTTTGGCTGATGCAGAGCGTAGTGCACGTGCTGGGGTGTACGGTTTAACCATGTCCTGGATGTAGGAAGGGCCAGATCCATTCGCAGCATGGTACGCAAGTACCAGTGTCTTGAAGTGGATTCTAGCAGTTACCGGAAGCCAGTGAAGGGAGCGGAGGAGCGGAGTGGTGTGGGAACATTTAGGAAGGTTGAAGACCAGACGAGCCGCTGCATTCTGGATGAGCTGCAGAGGTCGGATGGCACATGCAGGTAGACCAGCCAGGAGGGAGTTGCAGTAGTCTAGGCGTGAGATGACGAGAGCCTGGACCAGAACCTGAGTCGCTTTCTGAGTCAGCTGGGGACGTATCTTCCTGATGTTGTAAAGCGTGTATCTGCAGCAACGGGTTGTAGCAGCGATGTTTGCAGTGAAGGACAGGTTGTTATCTAGGGTCACACCCAGATTCCTTGCAGTCTGAGTCGGGGAAACAACTGAGGTGCCGATGTTGATTGTTAGGTCAAGAGTGGGACAATCTTTTCCCGGGAGGAAGAGCAGCTCAGTCTTGTCAAGGTTGAGTTTGAGGTGGTGAGCAGACATCCACTGAGAGATGTCAGCTAGACAAGCAGAGATGCGTGCGACGACCTGGGTCTCTGAGCGGGGAAAGGACAGAATTAATTGGGTGTCGTCAGCGTAGCAGTGGTAAGAAAAACCATGCGGGCTAATGACTGATCCGAGCGAGTTTGTGTACAAGGAGAAGAGGAGGGGACCAAAAACAAGTTAGAGAAGTGTTGATGAAATGGGTGAGAAACGGTAGAATATCAGGAGCGATAGTCTGAAGGAGGTTTGAAGGGATAGGGTCCAGAGGACAGGTGGTAGGGCGGGCAGAGGTAATGAGGGTAAGAACCTCACTTGGAGAGAGAGGGGAAAAGGAGGTAAGTGTGTTGGTGGAAGGAGGGTCTGGTGACCCAGCGGTGAGTAAAGGTGAGTCAGAAAAAGAAGAGCGAATATCATCAACCTTTTTTTCAAAGTGGTTAACAAAGTCGCTTGACAGAAGTGAGGAGGGGGGAGGAGCTTTTGGAGGGTCCAAGAGGGTGGAGAAGATGGAAAATAGTTTTTTAGGATTGGAATAGGAAGATTGGATCTTATCTTGAAAGAAAGTGCTTTTTGCCTGAGAGATCGAAGCAGAGAAAGAGGAGAGGAGAGCCTGATAGGTTAGGAGGTCGTCACGGTGTTTGGATTTCCACCGTTTCCTTGAGATGATGCGATCCAGGACATTGCCAGCCTCTCCCAAGGTGCCTGGTGGACGGTAGAGAACAACAGTGGTTACTTGTATCGGACGGGTTACAGTGACGGCATGGATCCTCTTAATGAACCAGACGATGTAAGAATGAACGGAAAAACTGATTAAAATGTTTTTGTTTTATTTTGAAAATGACAGAATAAGTTAACAAGTGAAAAAGAAGAACATGGCTGTTGCTATGGTAACGCTGGGTTTCCTCAAAACTTCAAAAGATCCGAAACCTCCTCCAAACTGTCACCATCAGAAGAAGAGAATTGCATTGTGGGTAATGGCGTCTCAAGGTTCAGAAGAAGAAGAACATGCAGTAAAAACAAACAACAACAAAGACGTGCCGGGGGGGGGGAGAGAGACCCCTCCCCACTTCATGCACACGGTAAGAATAATTTATAATTAATACAAAAACACGGAGGGTCTCCTTCCACACAGCTCTGTTCATCATCATCATCATCATCATCATCATCATCATCATCATCATCATCATCATCATCATCATCATCATCATCATCATCATCATCATCATCATCATCATCATCATCATCATCATCATCATCATCATCATCATCATCATCATCATCATCATCATCATCATCATCACCACCCTCATCATCATCACCCTCATCACCATCATCATCATCATCATCATCACCATCATAATAACAATAATAATAACATTAATACTGTTTTAATGTTTAAACAGTATTCTTGTTTCTGTGAAGTGTTTACATTTAAAACTCTTTCCCAGCATGCCTTGTGTTCTTAAAACTCTTTCCCAGCATGCCTTGTGTTCTTAAAACTCTTTCCCAGCATGCCTTGTGTTCTTAAAACTCTTTCCCAGCATGCCTTGTGTTCTTAAAACTCTTTCCCAGCATGCCTTATGTTCTTAAAACTCTTTCCCAGCATGCTTTATGTTCTTAAAACTCTTTCCCAGCATGCCTTGTGTTCTTAAAACTCTTTCCCAGCATGCCTTGTGTTCTTAAAACTCTTTCCCAGCATGCCTTGTGTTCTTAAAACTCTTTCCCAACATGCCTTGTGTTCTTAAAACTCTTTCCCAGCATGCCTTATGTTCTTAAAACTCTTTCCCAGCATGCCTTGTGTTCTTAAAACTCTTTCCCAGCATGCCTTGTGTTCTTAAAACTCTTTCCCAGCATGCCTTGTGTTCTTAAAACTCTTTCCCATCATGCCTTATGTTCTTAAAACTCTTTCCCAGCATGCCTTATGTTCTTAAAACTCTTTCCCAGCATGCCTTATGTTCTTAAAACTCTTTCCCAGCATGCCTTATGTTCTTAAAACTCTTTCCCAGCATGCCTTGTGTTCTGACACTTTAAAGCACCGCAGAAGAAGCTGATCATTTATTTTAATATTTGTATTATATACATCTTCGATCAATAATCAATAACATTTGCTTTTATATTTATATTATTTTTTCAAATAAAACTTTAGTTCTGTATTTTAACGTAACTCTGGGTTTCTTTAGGATTCTGAATCTTTTTTTAAAGTTACTATAATAATATTATAATAAACATAATGAATGTAATTAAGGCGTTACAGATCAGAGTAGCTGTGTGGGGGGGGGGGAACCCTGAGGGTCGCGGCCCCCCTGGGGTCGTAGGTCGTGAGAAGTGGCCCCTGATAAAACACTGAGTTATAATAAATAATGTGACCTTTAGTTTGAAATCTACTCACTGCAATAAGACTTTTAATTTGAAATCTTCTCCAACGGCGGCTTCTTCTTTATTAAATATTATTATTTTAATATTAATTTTCTTCAGGTTTCTAGAAACACTTTAAATGATTTATAAATGAGGTGGTTCTTTTTATTTTAATCAACTTTTCATGAAAACTTTATTTTTATTTTAAAGTGAATTTATCAGCAGGAAGCGTCCGAAGCCGAAGTAAGAGTACGTGTAAATGTGAACAATGAGAGGAACAGCTGATCAACTTTTGCTCTCAGAAGTCTAAAGATATAAAACGGAGGAATCAGAGGAACTCTAACTGAGACAGGTGCAAGGCATGATGGGAGTTGGAGTTGTATTTTAGAATAGTCCTATCAATATCTGTTTAAGTAACATTTACTTCAACAGCGTGAGGGTTTGGTCCCCCGTGGCCCCTGAGGTCGCCTAGAGGCCCCTGAGGATGTCTAGAGACCCTGAGGCCCCTGAGGTCGCCTAGAGGCCCCTGAGGGTGTCTAGAGGCCCCTGAGGGTGTCTAGAGGCCCCTGAGGGGACTTCAGTAAACCTCAAACCAGAACGTGATTGAGTCTGAAAGCTGCCTGCGTAGTTTATGGTCATGATGAATGTGGAACATTCATTATTATTATTATAATGTGTGTGGAAGGGGGCCCCTGTTTATGCCCCCTGTTTGTGGAAGGAGGCCCCTGTGTTTGGAAGGGGGCCCCTGTTTATGCCCCCTGTTTGTGGAAGGAGACCCCTGTGTTTGGCTTGTGTGTGTGGAAGGGGACCCCTCTGTGGTTTGAGTCTCTTTCGCTCACAGTCAGACAGGAAGTCCATGCAGAATAAGAGTACGAACAGGAAGTCCTATGAGGTGTTGATGAGTGGGCGGGTGTACCCCCCCCCTTGGTAGTAGTTGGGCTCCAGCGAGTCGAGCCCCCGGCCCCCGGCCCCCCCGCTGTAGGAGTACTGCAGCGCCTCGTAGGCCCTCAGCTCCAGCTTGCTCTGCTCCGAGGACATCAGGTTGCTGATGGAGAACGGGTGGTCGAAGGCGTAGTGGTCCTTCAGATCCATGTGGGGGGGGAGGAGCTTCAGATCCAGGCCGGGGGGTGGGGCCTGGCTGGAGGAGGGGGGGTCCGGGGGCCCTGGTTTATCTGAAGGAGACGCCTCCCCCTCCTTCCCCGGCTTCCTGTCACACTTGAATCTCTTCTGGCGCCGCAGGTAGCAGCCGTTCTCGAACATGTTCCCGGAGTCCGGGTGCAGCGTCCAATAGGAACCCTTCCCGGGTTTATCTGGCGAGCGAGAGACCTTGACGAAGCAGTCGTTGAAGGAGAGCGAGTGGCGGATGGAGTTCTGCCAGCGCTGCTGGTTCTGCCGGTAGAAGGGGAACAGGTCCATGATCCACTGGTAGATCTCGCTGAGTGTCAGCATCTTACTGGGCGCCTGCTGGATTGCCATGGTGATGAGCGAGATGTAGGAGTATGGCGGCTTGGCGTGAGGGAAGCTGCGCCGGAAGGCCTTCCTGCCGCCCCCCCCGCCCCCATACAGGCCCGGGCCCGGACTCACAGCTCCGTAATGGTTCAGGTTCACCTGCTGGGCCGAAGTCATGGGGGGGCTCAGGGTCCCGCCCCCCCCCAGGCCCGTCATGGCCGCTGGGCCGGGTCCCATTCCCCCCCCTGGGCTCAGACCAGATCCGTACGACATGTTGAAGGAACCCGACGTCCCGCCGCCCGACATGTAGCCTGACATGGAGCCCATCCCCAGACCAGAACCCATGCCACCGCCCGCCATCGGAGAGTAGACCTGCAGAGAGAGAGACTGTTAGACAAGAACCAGAACTACTTACACCAGAACCAGAACTGTTAATACCAGAACTACTTACACCAGAACTACTTATACCAGAACCAGAACAAGTACCAGAACTACACCAACACCACCGCTAAGCTAAAGGAGGCTAATGTTGGGCTATTAAGGAACTACAGCACGGTCACATGACTTCATGTCTCCACCGCTAAGCTAAAAGTGGCTAATGTTGGGCTATAAAGGAACTACAGCACGGTCACATGACTTCAGGTCACCACCGCTAAGCTAAAGATGGCTAATGTTGGGCTAGAAAGAAACTACGGCACGGTCACATGACTTCAGGTCACCACCGCTAAGCTAAAGATGGCTAATGTTGGGCTAGAAAGAAACTACAGCACGGTCACATGACTTCACTTCACCACCATTCGCTCAAGGCGGCTAACGTTGGGCTATAAAGGAACTACAGCACGGTCACATGACTTCACTTCACCACCGCTAAGCTAAAGGCGGCTAATGTTTGGCTATGAGGGAACTACAGCACGGTCACATGACTTCACTTCACTACCGCTAAGCTAAAGGTGGCTAATGTTGGGCTATAAAGGAACTACAGCACGGTCACATGACTTCACTTCACTACCGCTAAGCTAAAGGTGGCTAATGTTGGGCTATAAAGGAACTACAGCACGGTCACATGACTTCAGGTCACCACTGCTAAGCTAAAGGTGGCTAATGTTGGGCTATAAAGGAACTACAGCACGATCACATGACTTCACTTCACTACCGCTAAGCTAAAGGTGGCTAATGTTGGGCTATAAAGGAACTACAGTACGGTCACATGACTTCAGGTCACCACCGCTAAGCTAAAGGTGGCTAATGTTGGGCTATGAGGGAACTACAGCACGGTCCCATGACTTCACGTCACCACCGCTAAGCTAAAGGTGGCTAATGTTGGGCTATAAAGGAACTACAGCACGGTCACATGACTTCACGTCACCACTGCTAAGCTAAAGTTGGCTAAAGTTGGGCTATAAAGGAACTACAGCACGATCACATGACTTCACTTCACTACCGCTAAGCTAAAGGTGGCTAATGTTGGGCTATAAAGGAACTACAGCACGGTCACATGACTTCACTTCACTACCGCTAAGCTAAAGGTGGCTAATGTTGGGCTATAAAGGAACTACAGCACGGTCACATGACTTCAGGTCACCACTGCTAAGCTAAAGGAGGCTAATGTTGGGCTATAAAGGAACTACAGCACGGTCACTTGACTTCACTTCACTACCGCTAAGCTAAAAGTGGCTAATGTTGGGCTATAAAGGAACTACAGCACGGTCACATGACTTCAGGTCACCACCGCTAAGCTAAAGGTGGCTAATGTTGGGCTATGAGGGAACTACAGCACAGTCACATGACTTCACGTCACCACCGCTAAGCTAAAGGTGGCTAATGTTGGGCTATGAGGGAACTACAGCACGGTCACATGACTTCACGTCACCACCGCTAAGCTAAAGGTGGCTAATGTTGGGCTATGAGGGAACTACAGCACGGTCACTTGACTTCACGTCACCTCAAAATAAAATGAAATAAATATTCATATTTCTCCACTGGTCTGTGCTATAAATGTATTTTCTGTTCCTACGCGGTGAGAGACGCTGAGCCTCAGCTCGGATGCTCTCACTCTGTATGTCCCAATATGATGTCTACAGAGACTTCACTCTGCGTCCTGACTCTCCATATGTAATGTGTGTGTGATACATGTATGCTGATGTGACATGAAGGTAAGGCAGACAGTAGGGGGCGCACGTGAGCCCACAGGTTCTTGTTGCTATTATTCTATGCAGAGAAGATAAGGAGGTAATAGAGATCTGAAGGATAGGTGCCTGGACTTCCTCTTCAAGTCAAGGTGAGACCACCATTGTATTGAAAATGGGATCTTACCAAGAGAGAACAATCCAATATTTAAATGAAACTACATTTGTGTTGGTATCCTTTTGTTGAACAGTCTGTTTAAAATTAATCGAAGCTTCAGACTAAAAAAGCTTTTGGAAATAACAGAATATTTCGATTAAGGTCAAAATATAATAATATTTGTAAATGTGACATGATGTGGTGTTAAGACCTTATCTCGATAACAACCAAAAACACGCTCAGGGACCATTGACCTCCAGACGGAGTGATGCTGACTCATTCCTGCTGAACTTCATAAAACTTAAACCATCCCATCAGGCTGAAAACAACGGTAACATATTTATTTTTTGTTTGAAGGCTTACAGATATAAATATATAGATATGTAAAAACTGAGAATAAAGTTTCAGTTTGAGCTGAAATCAGATCCTAACGTCATAACCCTGTGTCAGTTAAATAAAGCAAAGGATGTAAAGCAGGGGGCCACATCAGCATCATGGCTGCACTCAAAGGGCGGGCTGTAACTTTAAGACTATATAAAAATACATATATAAAATAATGTATTATATTACATGATTAATAAAGAGAGGGTAATAACTTCATATTTAGTCTGAAAGCAGAGGGCCAATAACTGCAAGTCTCTTCAGAGTGCATGTAGCAACATGATTTAAAAAGACAATTCTTTCTTGAAAGAACATTCTTGAAAAAAGTCAAAATCCAAGAAACAAATTTCATTTTTGAAAAAAAAGTCAAATTCTGAGAAAATTGTCAAATTTGAGATGCATTGTGGGACATGTAGTTTATGGGCAACGTGCTTCTATACAGCGGCATGTAACCGAATAATAAACATATTATATTCTTTCAGAGCTCTTGCGGGGCCACGAAACGAAATGAAGTCACGGGCCGGATTTGGCCCCCGGGCCTTGAGTTTGACCCTCCTGATATAAAGGGTAGACATGTGGATTACAACAAGTCAGTTTATGAGAAGGCTGACCCCGAGACCAGAGGAGTTAATCACACGATATATATATATATATATATATAATTATTATTATTATTATTATTATTATTATTATTATAAAAGATATCAAGAGGAAGCGTTTTGACTCTTTACGGTGTTTCAGCTTTTTGATGCAGAAACACATTATACTGTGACTCTTCTTTACTCTGGAATCAAAGACATAGGATTGTGATTTATATATATATATATATATATATATATATATATATATATATATATATATATAAACAGAGATATGTTTATAATAAATACAACACAGGGGTTGTGTTTTTAGGTGTTTTGATGCAGAAACGAGACATTTTTTATATTAATCAAAACTCCTCCCGTTTTTCGCTCTGCTTTGAAAGAAACGGGAAATTCAACTTTAGAGAAACATTATATAGAAATATAGAATCAACTGTATTTATTCACCTGATCTTCCTGTGTGTCCGCATTTTGTGTATTTTACATTTTCTCAGTCTAAAATCTCCCTCCTCGCGCGCGCCTCTATTTTCTCCCTCCTCGCGCGCGCCTCTCTTTTCTCCCTCCTCGCGCGCGCCTCTCTTTCCCCGCACGGACCAATAAAGGTTCTCTCTAAGGCTCTGTGACCCTGGGCAGGGTCCGGTTCTCCGGGCTCACAGAGGAGCTCAGAGCCGGGGCAGAAGTGCTGTGCCCCGGCTCTGAGCGGCCCTCGCGCGCGCCTCTCTGTTCCCGCACGGACCAATAAAGGTTAATCTGATCTTCAAACAAAATACTTCTAAATTATCAAAACTACTAGAATTACTTTTAATTATTTCTGCTGTGATTTTAAAGTTTTAATATTAAAGACTGAATATTATCTGAAATAAACATTTAGAGAATTATTTTTGAAATCTCTTCTTTAACAAAACATCACATATCGATCTGTAATAATAATCTTTCATGGTGATGCCCATTACCTGATCAAGTTAGATGCCGCCGCGCGCTGAGATTTGTACTAACTCGTCTGTCCCCTGTAGCCGGGGCAGGTCTGCCTTCACTGACTGTGCGGAGGGACATGTTCATCTGCCATGTTGGGTAAACTACTACCTTACATCTGCTCTCTGATCACACAGAGAGTTGCAGGTATTGCCTGAGATCACAGGATGTGGTTTTGTTAAATGTGCCAAGTGCTAGGACTGACTTAGGGACCAAAGCTTTTAGTGCGCAGCTCCTCTAACTCGGACGGTCTGCAGAAAGAATGGAAACTGATCAAATTGGTTCCAATGCATGTTTTCAAAGCTCGGAGACGCGATGCTGTTGGAACCTGTATCTTTGGGGTATGACGTCCTGTTGGTTCATGTTTGATGTTTCCTGTGGAACCTGCTGCTGCAGGTCTCCCTTGATGATCTCAATTAAATAAAGGTTTGAAATGAAATGATCTTGAATTAGTTAACCTTTATTAACCTCCGAAGAACAAAACAAACCTCACGATTTGAAATTATTTAATTATTATTATTATTTCCGGTCAAATCAATCCTTTAATAATGAGCTGATCCCCTTTAATGCTTTATCAATAACTATATATATATATATATATATATATATATATATATTATGACGGGATGATTATTAATAAACTTTTACAGAAGAAATACAACTCTGTTTTTTTGCCTCTTAATTAATAAATAAATACAATTTAAATATTTCTTAATAAATGAACTATTGCTTCTTCCTGAAGACTTATTATATTTATTATTACATTACATTATATATCATCATACCTCAAAGATATCTGAGAGTACATTAATTTTCTCTTTCGATCCGACTTTAGCATTTAAACGTTAAACATTTAAACTTTAAAATACAAACTGTTATATTAATGTTATTATGCTATTTAATAAATAGGATTTAAAATGCGGTTTCTTTGCAGATTTGAATGTAAAAACGAATGAAAGTAAATCTGTGTTAATCAATAACCCGCTGATCAGCCTGTGTCGGTTAACGCGGGATCAATAAGGAGTAAACACTTCAATTATTAACGTGATAAAGGTTTAAAAGTGTATTTGTTATAATTGAACTAAAACATTTAGATTCTTATACATTATATATTTAAACATCCGCTCCGTACTGATCAATAATCTGTGA